CTGTTGCCTTTTCGTTGGCACTTTCTCTATTCTCTGAACCTATCAACGATTTGGTGCGAATCAGTGTGACTCCAATGCAAATCAGCCATCTCAAACGATACTATGCGAATCAACTGTGCATTCTAATCAAAAAAAAAAAATTAAACAAAGACTTAGCGAATTGTTTGTATCAACCAATATGAATCGAATCGTAAAAACATACCATATATCGGACGATACTATACAAAAACGATACAAAACTCTAATTCGTATTGTTTTACCTATGTATCGTGACGTATCGACACTAATAACTATGCTTAAGGGAGACCTAGGATTGTATGAGTCGAGGTTTTGGATTGGTTTTAACTTTTTGTGTGAAACCTTGCAATAACTAGTAAGGTCGCAGAATTTCCTGTATAAACGAGCTTATAATGGCAGAGTAAATCAGGACTGGGGTTTGTTTTGGGTTTTGGGTTCAACGGTTCAAGGTTATGAATGACATAAGAGGGTGGAGAAGGCAGGTATGACCATCAAGTCTGCGGGGAAGCCAAACAAGAAGGAAAATATAGATGATGCATAGAAACCTTCAGAACTCTCTAAGGGCTTCTAGAACTCTCACCGACAAGAATTTTAATGGACTCTAAATCTTACAGAGATGAAAAATATGCAAAGAATTTTTATCATCAACTGCATTAAATTGTATCCACGAGAACATGCTTATAAAGAGCATATGAAATAACACTATTTGGAGAGCCCTAATGGAAACTCCATTAATTCCATAAAAATAAAGGACAAAAAATAAGCAAAACTTATTAAATACGAAACCCAAAAAATTGAAATTTCCAAAATACCCCTAATCTGCAATTTACTAAAACAACCCTAGGCCAATATGAAGTCAAAACAAGTGGTCCATTGGGTTGGTACATACCAAGCCATATCCCCAATATCCTTGCTTGCTAGTTCCCGCCTTAGAACTTCTGGCATCCATCAACCACAATCTATTTTAAATGTGTCCCTTGTCTTGTTTTCTTTTAACTTTATATGACTCTCTCTCTGTCTCTCTCTCTCTGTCTCTACCATGACTCAATCACTCCCCTTCTTACAAGAAGCAAACCTAATACCCATATCCATGCAGAGTCGCAGCNGTTGAGATTAAAAAAAATGGTGTATTAAAAAAATCATGTTCATGTTGGGATTTTTCACCCGTTTATTAAATGTATCGTGTATGGGTTTACATGTTTTTCACACATCAACCGACACGTAACAGTTTAACCCGACACGTAACAATTTAACCCGACACGTTTAACACCTCTAATTTTTGTTAATTTTTTGGGGAATTTGGTGTCGTTAACATATGTAGCATTTAGGGTTTTTATTGACAACTCTTTGTATTGATTATAGATTTCCTTAGCCATGTAGGGTTTTAGTGACAACACTTGGTATCCATAATAGACTTTCTTAGACATGCAAATCTCTAAATTAGGCCTTTTCCCCTGTGTATATGGTGCAGGACAAAGCTAGAACAAGGAATTTTAAGGCTGCCCTAGAACCAGATTTGGAGCTCAGGGACTAAAAATTTAGGGTTTGTGATTGAGAAGACAAACTTAGGTCCGAGCACTTTTGGCATAGTTGTCAAATCGTGTATTGAAAGGTGTATCGTTTTTTAAAAATAGTATATCATATCGTATCGTATATCGTAAGATACGACGCAATTTTAAATAATTAATAATAAAATATATATGTTTTTAAAAAAAAATCATAGACTCATAAAAACATAACATTTCATTAATATTCTACCTACTATTCAAGTCACCAATATAATTTACTAATATTAAAAAAATAATGAAGGGTATCAAATTAAATTAATGGTACTTATCTATACTTAAAATTAAAAAGTTACAATGTAGTGGAGTAATAAATGTAATTCTTCATACTTGTAACAAAAAAACACAATCGTGAGTCTCGTGATCCACGAATAGAGACAAGAGACAAAAGAGGTGAGAGGCGATGGGCGATGACGGTGTCGGAGAGAGAGAGAAGAAGAAGAAGAACATACCTAGTGGTTGGTACCTCGTTATCGCAGCTCACAGCGATGAAGAGAGAGATCGTGAGACAGCGAGAGAGATCGTGAGACAGAGAGAGAGATCATGAGACACAAAGAGAGAGATCGTGAGACCTAAGGTTTCATCCGAAATTTATAGGTTAGTGTTGTTATTTTTTTCAATTTTAAAAATTTGTTTGATTTGCTTTTGCTTGGGTGTTTTTGTTGATTTGTGGGTTTGGTGGACTGATAATTCTTGTCTTCATCTCTGTTGCCTTTTCGTTGGCACTTTCTCTATTCTCTGAACCTATCAACGATTTGGTGCGAATCAGTGTGACTCCAATGCAAATCAACCATCTCAAACGATACTATGCGAATCAACTGTGCGTTCTAATCAAAAAAAAAATTAAACAAAGACTTAGCGAATTGTTTGTATCAACCAATATGAATCGAATCGTAAAAACATACCATATATCGGACGATACTATACAAAAACGATACAAAACTCTAATTCGTATTGTTTTACCTATGTATCGTGACGTATCGACACTAATAACTATGCTTAAGGGAGACCTAGGATTGTATGAGTCGAGGTTTTGGATTGGTTTTAACTTTTTGTGTGAAACCTTGCAATAACTAGTAAGGTCGCAGAATTTCCTGTATAAACGAGCTTATAATGGCAGAGTAAATCAGGACTGGGGTTTGTTTTGGGTTTTGGGTTCAACGGTTCAAGGTTATGAATGACATAAGAGGGTGGAGAAGGCAGGTATGACCATCAAGTCTGCGGGGAAGCCAAACAAGAAGGAAAATATAGATGATGCATAGAAACCTTCAGAACTCTCTAAGGGCTTCTAGAACTCTCACCGACAAGAATTTTAATGGACTCTAAATCTTACAGAGATGAAAAATATGCAAAGAATTTTTATCATCAACTGCATTAAATTGTATCCACGAGAACATGCTTATAAAGAGCATAAGAAATAACACTATTTGGAGAGCCCTAATGGAAACTCCATTAATTCCATAAAAATAAAGGACAAAAAATAAGCAAAACTTATTAAATACGAAACCCAAAAAATTGAAATTTCCAAAATACCCCTAATCTGCAATTTACTAAAACAACCCTAGGCCAATATGAAGTCAAAACCAGTGGTCCATTGGGTTGGTACATACCAAGCCATATCCCCAATATCCTTGCTTGCTAGTTCCCGCCTCAGAACTTCTGGCATCCATCAACCACAATCTATTTTAAATGTGTCCCTTGCCTTGTTTTCTTTTAACTTTATATGACTCTCTCTCTGTCTCTACCATGACTCAATCACTCCCCTTCTTACAAGAAGCAAACCTAATACCCATATCCATGCAGAGTCTACTTTCTCTAACCAGGCAATGTGGGGCATATATATGGAGCTTAACTATTGGCTATAACAATCCATCCCTTTGAAGGGCCACGATCTTTGTCTAGGACCCACACAAGCACGTCGAGCTCATTCCCANGTAACAGTTTAACCCGACACGTTTAACACCTCTAATTTTTGTTAATTTTTTGGGGAATTTGGTGTCGTTAACATATGTAGCATTTAGGGTTTTTATTGACAACTCTTTGTATTGATTATAGATTTCCTTAGCCATGTAGGGTTTTAGTGACAACACTTGGTATCCATAATAGACTTTCTTAGACATGCAAATCTCTAAATTAGGCCTTTTCCCCTGTGTATATGGTGCAGGACAAAGCTAGAACAAGGAATTTTAAGGCTGCCCTAGAACCAGATTTGGAGCTCAGGGACTAAAAATTTAGGGTTTGTGATTGAGAAGACAAACTTAGGTCCGAGCACTTTTGGCATAGTTGTCAAATCGTGTATTGAAAGGTGTATCGTTTTTTAAAAATAGTATATCATATCGTATCGTATATCGTAAGATACGACGCAATTTTAAATAATTAATAATAAAATATATATGTTTTTAAAAAAAAATCATAGACTCATAAAAACATAACATTTCATTNACTATTGGCTATAACAATCCATCCCTTTGAAGGGCCACGATCTTTGTCTAGGACCCACACAAGCACGTCGAGCTCATTCCCAATGGACCGACCCAAGAATATCTCCATAACTGACCAGTCCTAAGTCGTCCAAATGCAGGACCCACCCAAGTACTTCTCAACATGGGACTGTCCAAGCACATATCGTGAAGTCCTATAATGATCCATTCCAACTGCATGTAATGTTGCCTGCTTTGAGTTGCATCTCACGACTTTGAAACGTGTTGCATCAATTTAGACGGAGCTTTTATGTATATAGTCTAGCGGCATTCTTTAACAAGGCAATATGGAAATGGATTGTCACCTCACCCACCTCGTCACCTCACCCTTTCCTAGGGTCTCTCTTGGACAGTTAGATGACTGGGCTTTTGTCCATCAAAACACACAACTCACTTGAAATTTTCTCTTTATCAGTTTATCTTCCTTTTCCAAATGCAGAAGGTTTGATCCCCATCTGTATACTTCCAGTTTCTTGNTTATCAGTTTATCTTCCTTTTCCAAATGCAGAAGGTTTGATCCCCATCTGTATACTCACTTGAAGGTTGCATCCCCTTGGCACTTTCTAGTGTTATTTCACTTATCCTCCAAAACAACAACAGAAATAAAAACAGAAAAAAGGTGTGAGGAGCACCTTTAGGTTTGGCTGAATCATCTTAAGTCTCCTACTAGTTTGAAGGACATCATACTTGTCTATCATTGAATTTCCTTCAATGCATGTTGCTCATTGTGATTCTAAGCCACAAAGAAATTAAACAGTGGCCCAATCTAGAATGCACAAGTACAACAACTTAGTTCCTAGAAGTGGGAAAGAGAGGCAAAATAGCAAATGATATTTAGAAGGAAAACAATACAGGCAGAGAAAAGTAGCATATTTACATGGTCTATCAGATAAAATAATGAGTTAGATACAAAGGTATCAGCTAAACAATAAGGATATCTTTGATGTTGAAGTCAATTGCAAGACTTGGCTCTATATCCAGCTGCATCATACGATAGAATAATTCAGTAAATTCTTAGAACCACATACGGTGCTAAAACCTCATCAGATTATAATGACATACATAAGACAAATTGCAAACATGATCAAGGAATCAGATTTCATTTTGAAACGGTCGAAAAGGCCGAAACATTTCTGTTTCCATGGACACTAAAACGAATCAATGATTGAATATCAAAATTTCACTGTTTCAAAGTGTTTCGGTATGTTTTGACATGTTTTAGTATGTTCTGACTTCCACTATGTTTCAGTATGTTTCAGTATGTTTCGATCAATATTTCGGAATGTTTCTCAAATAAATTTCCATTTTTTTTTCTTTTCTTCATTATGTTTCCAAATGTTTTCTACAATGGAATGGATGTAATTTTGTACCATGAATACATTCATATGATACTCATGAGCACCTCATTTGTATTATGAGATATTAATATCTTGGAAGTGTGTTTGTTTGCCAAAAATGCAATGTTTGACATCAGTTGAAATGACTTTTGTTCTATATTAACCTTTTTTCCTTCTCCAACTTGATGTTTTCTAGTATAATGGATGTTAAGATAATAAACATGTCCAATTAATTAATCAATTATTAAGCTTATCTATACTAAAGAGATTTAATTTGTGTTTTCATCTTTTTCCACATGTTTACAAATTCTCAATTTCCAATGTCTCCAAAATGTTACTAAAACTTTTCATTTCCATCCTTGCCTTTATCTTAGTTAGCTCCTTGGAATAATCGGAAAGAAGCACAAATTTCTCATTTGCACACGCATAGACAACACGGTAAAAGGCAAACCTAAATATACTGAGCCCCATCAAAAAATATTGTTCAATCATTCTAGTGCACAAAAACGAAGAACCGAGGCAACTGTAAACTAATAGTCCAAAGTGGAGAACACTAAAAACAAGGGCAAATGGTACTTCGCACCTTGAAAAATATAAGAATTTTTACTTTGCACCCTCAAAGATTAAATTTCCGACATTGCATTATCAATGTATTAAAAGTGTTGCAATGCAACCCTTCCATTAGTTTTCATTAATTATTCTGTACACAGGCTGGTTTTTAATAGAATAAGTAACAANCCTCAAAGATTAAATTTCCGACATTGCATTATCAATGTATTAAAAGTGTTGCAATGTAACCCTTCCATTAGTTTTCATTAATTATTCTGTACACTGGCTGGTTTTTAATAGAATAAGTAACAAAAGCTAACGGAAAAACCACATTACAACACTTTTAATACATTAGGGGTACAATATGAGAAATTTAATCTTTAGAAGTGCAAAGTGAGAATTCTTAAATCTTTTGGGGTGCAAAGTGAGATTTTCCCTAAAATCAGCATGCACTGCCAGGCGCATATATAACTATTATTTAAGGTACAACGTAGTGCAGTGACCAACAATCAAACTATTAATAGCTCAAATTGATTGTTGTACATGCTTATGTAGCATGTCTGATTGCAACTTTTTGATAGAACTCAATCAAAAAGACTAAAATATAAAATAAACATGCAGCAGCTCCAGCACTCAGGTTGCATATTAATAAACATCAAAGGTCTACAGTTCCAGCACACAGGAAAAGAAAAAATCCTCTGTTGGCAACAATTGAAATACCTCCCAATGCTGTTGCACAACTCCCTCTTGTAACTTTTTCAAGTTAAGATCGACTAATGGTTTTAACCTGAAAGGTATAAAAAAAAATGAGACCAAATCCTTTATAAGACTCACAAACCAATAATAAAGAAATAAGATTTGAACCCCCATGCCTCTCCATCTGAGGGTGACAGGGAATACAATCAAAGTGATGCAAAAACTATAGAGTGATTGGTAAAATATCTTAGGCTTTGGTATCCTGAAGTGCAAGTTCTGAGCCCCATGTCAAGCCAAATTTATTCCAAGTTAATACGATTTATTGACATTTTGTTTAGTTTTTGATGTCGAAGGTATTTCGGTCATGTCAATAATTGCAAAGCAGAATTAATGGTAATAGTCCATAGGTCATAAATGGGGGTCAATTAATGTTATTTAGAGTTTAAGTTGGTCTACAATATTCCTAGTTAATTATTTCTTAGTTTAAATTTCAAGTCGTAATCCTTATAGAAAAAGGAGACTCTTTAGCCTATAAAGATGAGTGTTCTCAATCATTCAACAGAAGTGATTTTATTAGAATTTTGTTTTGTGTTTGTGTGAAGTTTCCTAACCCTTGTGAAGGATCTTTTTATTGTTACCTATTTTGTTATCCTCTTTCTTCTTCTTCCAAGAATGTGCACTTCTATTCTCCAATACACCAATGAAAAGACCTAAACAAACATTCTTTCCTCCATGCAGATCCTATATTGCAAATCCCAATCATTCACACCTTGAANTGTGCACTTCTATTCTCCAATACACCAATGAAAAGACCTGAACAAACATTCTTTCCTCCATGCAGATCCTATATTGCAAATCCCAATCATTCACACCTTGCAATCTTTAACCATCCAACATTAAAAGCATAAACATTAAAACACTAAACTCCAAAAAATACAATTCACGTCTTACTGTTTGGTTACCCAACCTTACCCAAACAAGCCTTAAACAAGACTAACCTTTTCCACTTGCTTTGACTCTAATATCAATACCTAGAAAGGTTGCTTTGCAGACCACATAATATCCTATTCCTGCTGCACAACTTCTCTTCTGGTAACTTCAATTGTATGAAAGTGTTCTCCGTCACTTGTCCTGCATCAGAAGGCTATTAATTGGTGGAATTCCAAGAAATGAGACACATTTCCATATACTTCATACATTAAGACTGAAGGAACTACANCAATACCTAGAAAGGTTGCTTTGCAGACCACATAATATCCTATTCCTGCTGCACAACTTCTCTTCTGGTAACTTCAATTGTATGAAAGTGTTCTCCGTCACTTGTCCTGCATCAGAAGGCTATTAATTGGTGGAATTCCAAGAGATGAGACACATTTCCATATACTTCATACATTAAGACTGAAGGAACTACATATCATTCTGGGTTCTTTGGCATCATCCCAACCTTATTGTGACTTTGATTTGCAGCGTATACACATAAAGCAACCTTGAGATATGGATTCTATCATAGGTGACATGATTACAAAGGATTTAACGAAGCCGCACATGTTTGTAAATGCTATCCTTGAAAGTTTGCATCAATATAACATCTGAGATGACTTGAACTAATTCAACTTGTTTATTAATCATATTGTGTGTGAGCTGACAAGGGGCAGACACACATAATCCCTATGTCAAAAACCCTCTCTCCCAATCAAACCCACCACGCATAGACCCTCCAATAAACTAAAAATCCAATCAATCCAATCAATCCAAATACTAGCAAAACCAAGTAAAAAAATAAGCTAATCAAACGAGATCTCATATAATACAATATCAAGAGATGAAAAAAAAACCAAAAAAGCTCCAATATTTTCTACATACAATACCAGCAATATGGGGTTTTTGAGCTAAAATCAGGTTATTTGTGTTTGACACTAACTCAATCTATTTGTTATTCATGTTAGAGCATTATGTTATTTTGGGTTTATTTTGAGAGAGAGAGTCTACCCTAACCCACTAAATTGGTGTCATGCTTGTTTTATGTCGAAATTATCACCCATGGAGCATGTGAACCTTGTTTATACTATATACTATATAATTGTAAGTTTTATATGCAGCAAAAAAATAAGGAGAATGGAGATTGTAGCGCCCCCAAGCAAATAGGAAAATTTTGTGATAGTAGCTGCCATAGGCAACAATATATGCAGCCCTTGCGCCATAAACTGACATGGGTAGTGAGTGCCCTATGTTAAGGTTTCGATGTGTTCTATTGCTTAGAGTGATTTTGACAAAAAAGGAGATGGGGGGAGGGGAAGTTGATAAAACTGCAATATTATTAATCAGTAATACTAAAAAAAGGAAAGAAATTGAAATCTTATTTCAAAATGAAAGGGCTAGAATTAGATGCTACTTTTTTAAATCACTGTTAGCCATATATTGTGTTTTAGGATTGATGATGAAGGGTTTTAAAAGATCTTCATAGACAATTCATCAAAATTTTTAGACAATATTGAGGCAAACCCTTTTCTGGAAGCATTATCCACTAATCTACTGAAACATACTTATCTAATTTAGTCTACCTTAACGGGGTTGCCACGCGGAAGAGATTGGGTATAGACATAACCTTTCACATTATATTGTACAAAGTGCCCGCCTTCATTTTCAACCCACAGCCTCATGGTTCGGGCCAAATTTTAAACACTAAACTAGTGGCCCCCTGAATTGTTATCGACTAATTTACTTTTTGGAAACTAAATTATCAATGTTTTGGTTGCTAAAAACTTGTGGGATATATATTCTTAGTGATTAGTTTGGCAAGTGACGGTTGTAACCACATCACCCTCTCCATTACTGTATTTGCGTTCGAGGTATGACACATGGAGTTAGGGTTGGCCATGGGCTGTGTTGAGCCAACCATGGGAATTGCAGCCCAAACGCTGGTCCAAGAATGTACAAGCATCCATATTTTCATTTGAAAGAGTCAGCAGTATGAACAAATCTCCACAAGATTAAAAATACAGGTTTAAAAGCAAAACTTAACAGTACAACTGATTCATCTTCACTAGTTTGTTTTTACTACCCTCATGCCATCATAAACAAAATCCTTAATTTTGCCACTTGTTTGGTCATAAGGTCCGTTTATTAGGATTGTATTTGTTCGCAATTAGAAATTTCAAAAATGATGTAGTGCATTGCATTAAATGAATTGCGAGCCAAGGTTTCAGGACCAGGCTCTGTCGACAGGCCAGAAAAACTAGCCAAGCCCTAATTTTCTTAGGCAGCATGACAACACCTAGTTGTGGTCCCTAAAATTACTTAATCTAAAAAGCATTATTTTTTTTACCTCCAAAAGTTAATCGTTAGTTATTTTAACTGCATTAAGAACTAACCTTGTTCTGTTCTTGCTAATGATGACTGGACCTCGCTTCCATGAACACAATTTTGTATTTCTTTGTTTCATCGAGAGGAATGAAACTCATACCATATTAGAAACTTGTATGTGGCATTCATTACTCTAGTTATAAGGCTTCACTTCAATCGTATGCTTAATTCTTACTTATTATCATGTTTTCTCAATAAAATACATGCTGGCAGCATCTAAATACACACACGGGAAAGCCAAAACAACATAAGGTGAAGCATCTTACACTACTTTCTCTGGCACATCCTTTGGTGAGAATAGGGGTGGCACTAAAATCATCAAATCCTCCTGATCCACGTCCATGAGCCTACCCTTCTCTGCAAAGGATGAAAAACAACAAAATTAGCATTTGGCATGAGCAATTTCCAACTTTATTTCCAAATTCTAGAGACCATGAAAAATGAAGGTCTAACCAAAGAGTGGTTCCACTTCAGCCCAATTTCTCTTCTTTCTTCGGGCAAAATCAGCATGAACAGAAATAACATGTTGGTAATCTACCATTCCTTTATGAGCAAAACACATTTTCAGAGAATGAAAGAAAAAAGAGCCAACAAAAGGTCAACTTAGTTTGTGAGAGAAAAGACAGATGGGAATGGAAAAAGTAGCAAACCACCCAAAAAATACAAATAAGTCCTCTCTAACCATTAAAATGATAAGCTTCCGACACTCTAGCAATAATATCAGCAGAAAGATTTTCTTGCACTACTTCAGGTATCTGCATTTTGACTTCTGAAGAAGCAGGAATTGAATCACTATCAGCTTGACGTACTTCTTGCATAGTTTCAGTTAAATCGGGGCAGCAGTCCTCTTGCTCAACATTAATCTGGTCCACTGACAAAGCCTTTGAGAGCCTGTTGGAGTTCTCAGCATTTTCGTCATCCTGAATTTTCTGAGTTGATATTTTCAACAAATAATGATTACAAGGCTGAAGCTCCCCAAAGGCAGGGTGTGAATATGGATCTTCAGGTCGGAAATGGAGCTCCAACTTGTTTGACTGCGAACTACGAGCCTAAAAATAATGCCAAGATATAGATTGAGATGTCAACAGTGGAAAATACAGCTTTGCATAAAATTTAGTCTAGAATTCAACAAATAGGCTGAATCGTAAAGGATTCTCTACAACCTAAAAACCTTAAACCCATATGCATATGAGCAGTCTTCTCCAGTTACTTCTTTACACAGCCATCTCAAACATCATAGTTATGACGAGGAAATCAAATGAAATGGATAAGATTTGCAGCTAAGTGCAACAGTGGTCAACAAATTTCACTTCCTTCAGATGAGTTTAGAGGAAACACCTTTTCAATGTAAATGTTATACTAGCTCGCACTCATAGCTATGGTCCCAGCGGTACAAGCATTAATGGTCAATAAAGGTAGGTCACCAGTAAACGCTAACAAGGTTGAGAAATTACGTGTGATCCAAAAACCCTTTTGAAAAGATATCTATCCTTGCATTGCCCTAATGCTTTGCTTTTATGGAATAAATTATTTAATATTGCATATTTGAGTTGGACAGCTCCTAGATCATCTTCCACGGTTTGTTGAGATATTTGGCGATTTTGGAAAAACAAAAAAAAGGACCACCCTATAAATGCTAGAAATTTTTGTAATAGATGTGGGGTGGTGGAAGGATTATGGTAACCAAGTTACTTCTTAGCTTCTCTGGGGCTCCAATCACTAGGGAATTTCAAGGAACTTCTCCATTTGCATCTTGGAGGGGTGGACTTTGTGTGATCTCTAGTATGGATTCTTACGTTCTTTTGTCTTTTTATGTTTCGAGTTGGACCACTAGTCTGCCTCCCTTCTTCTAATATAATGAACCGAACACTTATCAATAAACTGTTGGTTACTTATCAAAAAAAATCCTTCGGACACTATCATGTAACTCAACACACACTCTTCTTGTGGATAGTTCACTCGTGAAGCAATCACTATGAAATCCAAATACTGTAGGTATTTCTTTTTAACAATTGAAGCTGTAATTTCTTGGCAGAAAACATTACCCCACATTCAAAAATTCATATATAATCACGTGTACAAACTAAAAGGAAAAATACTACAAAAACACATTTATAAAGTTGTATTAGCATACAAAGAGCCCTAATGCGATCTAAGCAATCGCCTAGGGCACCCATATTGAAAAGGGCCCCTGAATAGTGTTTGGCATCCCCCCATCATCCTTAACTATCCTTATAATATTCCCCCAATTGTAAAAACTGTCAAGAAACATTCGGTAGTCTCCCAAGACTATTATTCTGTTAATTTTTTTTTCTCTTTTTTCCAGTTGTGGATAGCATTCTTACTCTCAGTCTCTCTAGTTTATTTTTTGTTAGGCAAATAGTGTTTCATAATCATACTGTTATAATTTATACTTATAGTGATAACTTGAGTCGTCTCTGGCATAAAACCACTAAAGGGATGATTTTAGGCTCTACATATAGAGAAGACAGCATATTCATACAAAGTAAACCTCATAAAAGTCTGAACCCAAGGACAAAAAATTATAAGCTCAAACAAAAAAAATTCATAATGAAATAACACAAATCATACTCCACTTTTTACTTTATATATTTTACCTAATGGTGATACAAAGTCAACAAATAATCATATTTTATCACAAAGTAAAACAAAATCTAAATGGTCGTCATTGCATATTTTTTCTCCACAAAAATTAGCTTTTGTTGGTAAAAACACAGAATTGAGAAACCTCATCACCTGGAAGGCCTCATATAAAGCTCTCTCTCTTTAGGGCATACCTTGACAATGCCTTCAGCTCCATCGAGAGTCTCAATAGCGCATGCCATAGACGAAGGGTAGGCAGGATAGTGAATTGCAAACACCTTATTGCTAGGTAGGAATCCCGAAATTGATCCGTCCTTTATGATTCCCATTGCTACTCCGTTACTTAAATAATAGAAAAAAGGCGTTTATACATCTGTTTGGGTGGGGTGGGATGGTGGGACTCTGTGTTTGTGTGGGAACCATAGCCCCTCAACCTGAAGCCATTGAAACACACACACGCTGAGTGAGAGAGAGAGAGAGAGAGAGAGGTGGAAAAGAAGCACAAATACCACAACAAATCATAGACGAGACACACCTAACATTCAATAAAGTTAACATAGTCCACACAACTAACAGAATCCACCAAATCCTAAAGGAAAAAAGAAGAAAACATCAGCAAGAACAATACTACTAAGAAACCATAACAAAGAATTAAGACCAGTAATTAAAAAAAAAACTCAACAAATATGACTCCAAACAAAAGCAATGACCACCCAGAACCCCATGAAGACACATAACCCAATTACCAAAAACCAGCCCAAACAACAACATTAACCTCTCAAAATCACCAATTTTTAGACATACCCAGAACCCAAAAAGAAGAAAAACACAAAATCAAAGTAAAGGAATCGCACTACAAGAAAAAAGGGCTTTTGCGGCAATACAATCCTGTCACAAAAAGCACTTTTGCCGCCACAATTATTTTTTGTGATAGCTTAGTGGTAGCATTCGTCCACCATTTATAGTGTAGTCTCAAAAAGTATCTGTGACAGGAAATTGCTGTCGTAAATAATCATGCTATTTTTTGTGGCAATAATTCTATCGTCACAAAAGCCATATATTTTTCAATTTATTTGAAAAGGTATTTGTGATGGCGTTGACGCTGCCACAAAAAAATCGGAAGTTTAAAAAAAAATTATTTTTGAAATAAATTATTTCACGATATTGAAACATTGACCAAAACTCTGTCCACTTGAAAAGCCTCTCCATTAAACTTAGGATAACGCCTACTAACTACAAAAACAGAAACTTAATTCTATTACATCCTACTTAACCTTTAAAAGCCCCAAAAGGCAATAAAAAATAAGCATACAAAGTAGATTTTTTTTAATACATGAATGATAATCAGTGAAGAACATAAGACCATCTACAAACCACCAACACTCTCCAACCCTAAAAAAAAATTAAAAACTCTATTAAGATAATAAATCTTGAAAAGCAAGTAACTCAATTGCAACATATCTATAAAGACAAAGGGAAAATAATAAATTATTGGGCAAAGAAATCCCCGTTAAATTATTAAGAACAACTGAACATAAAACATTGAGACAAGACAAAACATAAATTGACATATCATAAAAACAATTTTCTGTGTGTGACTGTATGGTGTGGGTGTGTGGGCAAGTGTTTGTGCTAGAGAGGGAAGGCGTCCATGTTCTTGATTACAACTATTTGTGACTTTTCCAAAACCCATAACCCAAGTAAACGTTGAAAGATTAGAGAATAACTAACTAATCAACTGTGTATTGCATATAGCAAACCAACTTAGGAGACTCTTCACATTTAAACAGTACGAAAAGATCTAGATCAACACAATGGTTTAGTATTGGAGATGAACCCAGATTCCTTGAAAAAAAATACATGGTTTTCATAAAGTCCACCCCAAAATTCCAAAAGGATCATGCAGCACTATCTATTATTGAACACTATTTGTGAACGTTATTCATCTTCTTCTTGGCCAAATGGACAGTCAGATTCAATGATGGCAGGGACGTTTCCATTTAAATACAAGAAAAAACACAATAGTTAGCCCCAGAAAAACATGAACTAAGCAACCTTATGATTTACATGCAATAAGGTCAAACAGCAGATAGATATAGTATATAAAAATTACTGTTCACTATCAGTCATTACATAATTGTTGGCCAAGTATCACAGGGATATAATTGTAAGCAAGAAATGCCTCCATGTTAGAATGTGCAGGACAATTTCTATATTTCTTAAGCTATTTTTATCAGAATGTAATCAGCAAGGTGATCAAATCACTCAAACTCTTCGGATACCCAACAAATCAGGGTACAAATCCAAGTGAGGTTTTAAATATAATCAAAAGCAGCATCATTGCACCTATTTCATTGCAAAACCACTAGATTTAATAAAAAAAGTGTAAGGTATACGTATTAACAGTAGTCAAGTTCTTTCAAGCACTAGGATAAGATTTTAAAATGCAAAAGACAATCCCAACACTAGAAAAAATCAACACATATTCTTTAACCATGGAAATTACCCACAAATCTCATCCACGGAATTAAGCAACAAAATTCACCAAATTTTTACAATCCACCAATTCTTGATACTCCAAATTCAGCAAATTTCCCATTACCCATTCTTGCACATCCACCATTCTAGCTCATTCCTTTCCAATTCATTACCATCAATATATGAACCACATGAAATTAAAAAAAAAAATCCCTTATGCATATACTACTATTACATATAATAAATAGCAAAAGCATTTGAAACTAAGCAGGGCAGTGAGAGAGCGAAAACAAAAAAGCAGAAATAGCAGGAAAAAAATTATATGTAGATACTACTATTAAAGACAACATTACTAAATCAACACCCAAAAATAAAGAACACAAATATAAAAAAAATTGCACAACACACACATTTGCATAAGAACACAACATAATTAACAAAGAATTGCGAGAGATTGAACCTGTATAGGGTTGGGGCTTTAAACCAAATGGGTTATAGTTTGAAGCAAAAATTTTGGGATTAGGCTTACTCTTCGTGGTGGTGGTTGCTGGTTCACAGCATGCGCCTGGGGCAGAACCCGAACAAATCCTCGAAATCGAACAGGGTGACGCCCTCTTAACCTCGTCAACAGTACCCCCGCTTCTTAGGTAGCTAAGTCGACGCATCGAGCAGGGGCCTTCAACCGAGAGAAATTGGGCCTATGTGTATTGATTTTGTGGTGGTGGCCAATTCATAGATGACATAGAGAGAAATAGTGGATGAGGGTATGGTGGTTATTGTGGTTAGGTAGGACAATTGGCAACGGAAGTAGCTGATGAGAGAGAAAGAGAAAAGTGAAGTGAGGTGTGGTGCGGTGCGGTGTGAGTAGTGAAGGATGAGAGGTGGTCAGCGGAGGTGGATCGGGGAGGAATTTGGGGGAAGAACGAAAACGAGGTTTCTATTGGGGACGCCCATTCTAATAAAACAATCTGATGTTGTATCATTTAGCGTATGTACGATGCCCCGTCACAAGTAACTATTTTTTTATACTGCCGCTTCATAAACAACAATTTCTACGGGCACATCCCATTACAAACAATTTTTGACGATCAGTGACCCGGGTGATTTTTGGGTATTTCAGTTCGAAGTCGAACTACATCGATCAAACGTCATGGTTGATGGGGAGATGATTAGGGTTAGGATTTTGTTATGAGGGTTATAACTACTCAAAGAGAGAAAAATCACAGATAATAGTGGCCGGTGGTGCCGAAAGCTTTGTAATAGCCGGTGTTGCCAAAAGTTACAAAGAGAGGAAAACATAGAACCAAGTCTTCGGAAGAGAGATTACACAGAAAATTTGGTAAAATATTACCGTTAGAATGAACTTTGAGATGGTCTAATAGACTTATATAACCTATTGAGTACAGTGAAAAGACAAAATCAGCCCTATATGTTATGCGACAAGATAACACATTAAAAAATAAAAAAGTCAACACACTCTTTCCTCTTTGGTAGGTTATTAGGATAACTTGTACCTAAAGACACGATATAATGTAAATTATTTTTAAAGAAATATTAATGGTTATTAGATGAGTCTATTTAAAACCGTCAAATAAACTTATTGAAATATGTTATATTTTATATTATAAATATTTAATTAGGCAATTGTTGTATGCACGTTCATGCTTCGCAAGTATGTTTCGATACACATAAACAAAAAATGTAATCAAAATGTCGTATGTTTTGTAAAATTATGTGGAATACTTGGGAAAAAATATTTTTATTATAATCAAGTTTTGATTTCTATTTTTGTTGTTTTGTGTTGCAATTTGAATTTTCTTTTGGGCTCGAAACAAGATTATTCATAATTGTATTTACTTAAGACGTATTTGAATTGAATCTCAGAAAACCGTTTTTGAGAAGAGTGTTAGAGTTTGACCCAAACTCTCCTACTTAACGCGAATGTTGTTTCATGTTTTATGATTTCTTTGTGTGTGTGAGATTATTTTGGATGTTTGATATTTTGAGATCCTACATTTGGTATCAGAGCCAAATTTAAAGATGGTAAATAGGAATGAGTTTGTTCAATGTTCGGTTGAAAAATTTGACGGGAACTCAAATTTTGAACATTGAAAAACACAGATAAAGTTGTTTTTCAAGGTCGTGGATTTTTTAGATATTATAACAAGTGGGTTCATAGATTTCGAAGATCTACCAACTCATACAAAAGCTCAAAATGATGAATTGATAATTAATCAGAAGAAAAACAATAGAGTGTTGATGTATATCTATTCATTAATTTATAACAAGATTATTCATGTTTCAACGACAAAGGCAATATTAGACGTCTTAATCAATTGTTATAGACAAGGTAAAAAAAAATTTGGTTGCAAACCCCACGCAGGCAGTATGAGTTTTTTCAGACGGAAAAATTAGAGAATATATCTGATTATTTCTCGCGAACGTTGATTATTGTCAAAATAGATGAGAATACCTTGCGAGGATGTGCATCATCTCCAGGTTATGGAGAAAATTCGTTAGACCTTATCAATGAAATTCGAGTATATTGTCATACCTAACATGAAATCAAAAGATCTTGATTCTTTAACAGTTGATGAGTTGATGATTCCTGCAAGCCCATGTACAAAGATTAAATAAAAAGACTAAGATTTTAGAGGAAGAAACCTTGCAAACTCAGACAAGTTTCAAGAAAGAGAAAGATGAGTCCACAATCAATCTCAATCAAATCAAAAATATTAATATTCAAATAATCAAGGTACGTGGAAAAACAGACCTGGTGAAGAAAAATACAAAGGTAATAATTATGGTGAACAACGTGATAAATCCAAGATAAAAGTGTTATTATTGTGGAAATTAAGGCACTATAAAAAAGATTACTACAAATTAAGGAGACTCGATAATAAGAATTATCATGCTAAAATTGCAAAGGGCAGTGATGATAATTTAGAGGCTTTGTTTTTTTACTGAGAGTGAAGTGGATGATGTGCAAAAACCAACAAGTGGTATTACAACTATGTTCTAACAAAAAGTTTTAAAAAAGTGTGTTTTGATGTTTTATAAGACGAATAACTTGTATGATTAAATGATTCCAAAAACAGTTTTACAGAACAGAAAACACTAAAACATGTTTGGGCAGTAACGCAAAAAACATGACTGTAAACAAAAGCAATGACCACCCAGAATCCCATGAAGACACATAACCCAATTACCAAAACCAGCCCAAACAACAAAATTAATCTCTCAAAATCACCAATTTTTAGACATGCTCAGAACCCAAAAGAAGAAAAACACAAAATCAAATTAAAGAAAACGAGAACAAAGAAAAAGGGCACATACCCATTACAATTTTTGACGATTTGTGATCTGGGTGGTTTTTGGGTATTCCAGTTTGAAGTCGAATTGAGTCGAACAAACAACCTGGTTGATGGGGGAGATGATTAGGGTTAGGGTTTTGTTATGGGTGCTATAGCGGCTTTAAGGAGAGAAAACTCATAGATGATAGTGGCTGGTGGTGCCATTTGTTTCATAGTGGTCGGTGATGCTAGAAGTTATGAAGAGGGGAGGACAGATAACCAAGAGTCCTTTTTATTTTCACGTTTTCAAAAAAATAAAAAATAGAAACAATTGTTCACAGCGAGAAAGATAAAGTTTGATGGAGATTTTGCGAGAATGACTTCTTCGAATTCTGGGTTCAAAGCATCGAGGAGCAGAGCTCCATCGTCTTCTTTGGGTGTGTTGTTCTTTAGCCTTTTTCGTCATCCAGAACATAGAGATGAGAGGTGTCTGTGTGAGAGAGGGACCAGAGTGAGATGAGTAAAAAAAAAAGGAACAAAAAATAACCCACTATTTTTACATATATTACCAAACATACTATTATTTGTTTTTGTTTTGACAAAACTCAAAACAAAAACATAAAACAAGAAACAAAAACAACAAACAACTCTCAAGTTTTTGGGAGAGAGAATACACAGAAAATTTGGTAAAATATTCCTGTTAGAATGAACTTTGAGATGGTCTAGTAGACTTATATAACCTATTGAGTACAGTGAAAAGACAAAATCAGCAATATATGTTATATGATAACACACTATTGAATAAAAAAGTCAACACACTCTTTTTTCTTTTGTAGGTTTTTAGGACAACTTGTACCTGAAGACATGATACAATGTGAATTATTTTTAGAGAAATGTTAGTGGTTGTTGAATGAGTCTATTTAAAACCGTTAAATAAATTTATTGAAGTATGCTCTATTTTATATTATAAATATTTAATTAGGCAATTGTCATATGCACGTTCATGCTTCGTAAGTATATTTCGATACACATAAAACAAAAATATAATAAAAATGTCGTATGTTTTGCAAAAATATGTGGAATACATTTTGGAAAAAATATTTTTATTTTAATCAATTTCTTATTTCTATTTTTGTTGTTGTGTGTTGCAATTTGAATTTTCTTGTGGGCTCGAAACAAGATTATTCATAATTGTAATTACTTAAGACGTATTTGAATTGCATCTCAGAAAACCGTTTTTGAGAAAAAGTGTTGGAGTTTGACCCAAACTCTCATATTTAACGCGAATGTTGTTTCATGTTTTATGATTTCTCTGTGTGTGAGATTATTTTGAGTGTTTGATATTTTGAGATCCTACATTTGGTATCAGAGATAAATTTAAAGATGGTAAATAGGAACCAGTTTGTTCAATGTTCGGTTGAAATATTTGACGGGAACTCAAATTTTCAACATTGAAAAACACAAATGAAGTTGTTTTTCAAGGTCATGGATTTTTCAGATATTATAACAAATGAGTTCATAAATTTCGGAGATCTACCAAATCATACAAAAGCTCAAAATGATGAATTGATAATTAATCAGAAGAAAAACAATAGAGTGTTGATGTATATCTATAGAGCATTTGATTCATTAATTTATGACAAGATTATTCATGTTTCGATGACAAAGGTGGTATGAGACGTCTTAATCAATTGTTATAGACAAGGTAAAAAAAAGGTTTGGTTGCAGACCCCAAGCAGGCAGTATGAGTTTTTTCAGACAGAAAAATTAGAGAATATATCTGATTATTTCTTGTGGACGTTGATTATTGTCAAATTAGATGAGAGTCAACGGCGAGTATGTGCAAGATCTCCGGGTTATGGAGAAAATTCTTTAGACCTTATCAATGAAATTCGAGTATATTGTCATACCTAATATGGAGTCAAAAGATCTTGATTCTTTAACAGTTCATGAGTTGATGATTCCTTGCAAGCCATGTACAAAGATTAAATGAAAAGATTGAGATTTTAGGGGAAAAACCTTGCAAACTCAGACAAGTTTCAAGAAAGAGAAAGATGAGACCACAATAAATCTCAAACAAATCAGAAGTATTAATATTCAAATAACCAAGGTACGTGAAAAAATAGATCTGGGGAACAAAAATACAAAGGTAATAATTAGGGTGAACAACGTAATAAATTCAAGATAAAGTGCTACTATTGTAAAAATTAAGGCACTATAAAAAAGATTACTACAAATTAAGGAGACCCGATAATAAGAATTATCATGTTAGAATTGCAAAGGGCGATGATGGTAATTCAAAAGCTTTGTTTTTTTTTACTGATAGTGAAGTGGATGATGTGCAAAAACCAACAAGTGGTATTAGAACTATGTTCCAACAAAGAGTTTTAGAAAAGTGTGTTTTGATATTTTTTGAGACGAAGAACTTGTATGGTTAAATGATTCCAAAAACAGTTTTACTGAACAAAAAACACTAAAACTTGTTTGGGCA